GCAAATTATGGTGGGTTCACAGAACTGAAATTTGGGATAATTTGACATACCTAACCTATAATTTGATTAGTTTTTCTTCTTATTCTTCTTCTGTTCCTTTTGCGGGCGATGTCCTTCGGGAAAATTCACCCATGATTTGATTTTTTATGAAAGAAAATATAAAAATGGAAACGTGAAGCATATTGTGCCTTCAGGAATGAACTTTTATTGTTTAATTCATACTCTTTTTACTTTGTTTTCCACAATTAAAACATCTCATCGTAGCTTGTTGACACAATTAAATGACAAATGTGATGACCAAAGAATGCCTACCCAAGAAGCGAAACTAAATGGGCGATTCGTGGACAAAAAACTGACAAGTTTTCTCAGTGTTTTAGAGGTGGTATAACGTCAAATATAGCTGTCAATTTATGTAAAGCAACGTTTGGTATATTATTGTTAGCGTTTTGTAAAAATTGCAGTATAGTTCAGTAGTTGTATTTAACTAAGTAGTAATTAGAAATTTGATAGTTTTAAAATTTTTATTACATAAAAAAAATACATTGTGGTATTCGTAAATTTTATTGAACGTTCTTGCATCTGGCTGTCAATCTTGTTTTTTAATTTCTAAATCTATATTACCTATAAAGATAATTTACGCCTACGTAAGTCTTTTATTTAAATATGTTTTTTTTGTTTTGAAAACCATTCGAATTAAAAGAGTAATTAATCAATAATACCAAACAATAATTAAAATATATGACAACTCATTTCGAGGAATCAAGTCGCTGCTATCAGGATGCAATCGAAATTCATTTACAATACTTCTTGATATGTAACATGTAGAGGGTGGGTTACCCCACGGCACTTAAGCTTCACTAGGCCCATTGTGTATCCTCCTAAAATTATAGTCACCTCCTAGCTTGTGAGCCAGCCTACAGATTTAATGTAGTTGACAATGTCGCCAAGAGGTGCTTCTCTTATATCGGCCGGTGTTAGCCAATACTCGCCAAAAATAAATCTTCTAATGAGAGCTACGGGCAATCGTAGAGGATATGTTCAATGGTCTCATCTTTTTGTTCGCACCTTGTGCAGAGTGTGGATTCTGACAGCCCTATGATATGGATATGCTTCCGTACTTAGCAATGACCAGTCAGAATGCCTGTGATTAGATGCAGATTCTGTCTAGTCATATTCAAGTATTTGTTTGTTGTAGTGTTGTCAGGATAACTTGAAAGATCCCTGGTAACTCAGCAGTTTTTTGTTTCATCTCATCTTTCCTTCAATTTTACAAGGGAATATTCTTTAATTAGGTTTGTCACTACCGATGTTGTCAGTCCAATAGAAGGGCCAGGTCCAAAACATATTAAATTGGCCGCCTTCTTGACTAGTGAATCAGCAATAAGAGGCTACCTTTCGATGTGGCGTCACCTTTGATCCATCTCAAGGCGACCACATTGTTGGATGGATACTCTTATTAAAGCTTCGTGACATTCTAGTAGGTACTAACCCTGAGTAAATTCGTAGTCTGTTCAGAGAAAATAGTGCTTATCTGCTGTCTGTATAAATGAGCATGTTCCTACCAGTAATATTGTTTCTGGTGATTTATTTTGCTGCTATGAGAACCTCCGTGAGCTCCGTGAACTGCAGTGGCACTATTTCTCAGAGTTCATTTTATGTTGAGGATTATGGAATTGGAGTATATTCCACATCCTTAGCATTGTCTTGTTTTAGAACCATAGGTGTAGATATAAATCATACCTGTCAATTCCGGCACTTCTATTTGTTCATGTTTGCTTGAAGCAGTGGGAGCGTATCGAGCGCCTTTTGCCAAAAGTGACGTTTCGCCTCGCCAGATCGTACATCAGGTTCTATTCCAACCGTGCAGAAGCGTGTCATTCTCATCAGAGCAACCTCCTTATTGATGTAAATACCAAGGGGAGTGAGACCAAAAACGACTTCCATGGCTCTGGTTGGTGTGGTTTTCATGACTCCTGTTATTTTGAGACAGGCTGTTATTTGAATTTGTTCTATTTTGTGGATAGCTATCAATTTTCGGATTTTCGGTACCCAGACAACTGCACCGTATCTTAGCATAGGTCTTATGATGGCCATGTAAGTCCATGTGACGACTCTGGGAGAGAAACCCAGTAATGTATGCTCTTTTGAATCTATTCTCTAACTGTGAGTTCCATGTTAACTTGTTGTCAAAGGTGCTACCTTGCAACAGAGGTGAAATACTTCACCTCTGTTGCAAAGGTTTGTTTTGTGTTTAGGAGCTCTGTAGGTTTTAATTCCATTTTCATCCTTTTCCTAGTGAAAAGGATTATTTCTGTCTTCTTGAGATTGATAGACAGTAAATGGTCCTTGCACCACTATTCCGTAATTGTTCTCAAAATTTCCTATTTGCAGAATGACCAGGTCATCTGCTTCCGCTATTGTGTAGTGACTGTCATTATTGTACCTACAGCACGGCATAATAAACAATTGGCAGGCTAACTTGTCTTGGCGGT